AAACTCGATTTACAAAAGCATCCCGCTTATAATGAAAAAGTAATCTTATGTAAGTCCTTAAGTCTAAATGCCTTTAAAAAATAACTCCACGGAAAAGCTAGGAGTTGACCCTTTGAAGGTTTGAGCTGCTTATGCAATCTTCTGTTCGATATTTATCAACAATCAATGAAAAAAAATATATATATATATAAACAAACTCAAATATGCTAATAAACAATAAATGTAAATAAATAATTTGGCAATGGACAAAATGAAATTAATATTAAACAGATAAACTGAAGATTGTGTACCGCAATATCTTTGAAACAGAATTTCAAACACTCTCAGACTTTGAAAGGATAAGTCTAGTGAAAAATAAAAAGATTAATTAAATCCGAAATTAATTTAATAAATTAAAAAATTAACCCATATTTTGATAATTACTTATATAGAAAACTTCATTTTAATCCTTGGCAAAGATGACTTTTTGATTAAAACCATGAGTAAGATCAACATCTAATTTTAGTCCCTTGATACATTAATAACCTCATTTATTAATTATATTTTGATTTTTTAATTATTTATCTTTTTCTTTCTAATTTTTAATGTATTAATTTTATTTCATTATAATTTTTATTTTCATTTTATTCATCGTAATATATTTTGTTGTGAACATTTAAATAAACTAATTTTTGTTATAGAAAACTTCATTTTAATCCTTGGCAAAGATGACTTTTTGATTAAAACCATGAGTAAGATCAAAATCTAATTTTAGTCCCTTGATACATTAATAACCTCATTTATTAATTATATTTTGATTTTTTAATTATTTATCTTTTTCTTTCTAATTTTAATGTAGTAATTTTATTTCATTATAATTTTTATTTTCATTTCATTCATCGTAATATATTTTGTTGTGAACATTTAGATAAACTAATTTTTGTTATACAATATATTTCGATGTACTTTATCTTCTTCATTTAAGTATATTAAATTCATTACAATACATTTCGGTCCATACATTTAGGTATACACATTTCGGTACATACATTTCGATACAAACATTTAGGTACATTAATTCAATATAATACATTTTCGGTACTAACATTTCGGTGCATACATTTCGGTACACATATTTAGGTACATTAATTTAATATTAATACATTTCGGTGCATATATTTAGGTACATACATTTTGGTACTAACATTTAGGTACATTAATTGAGTCTTCCAAATTTGAAGAATGTTAAATAAAATTAATAAACTAAAAAACTCTTTTTTGGTCAAAAAATAAATTAAAATTTGTGTATTAATATATTTAAATATTTAATGGGAGACATTAAATAAAATGTACATTAATTATTTTGAATTAAGGACACAGTAAGGACTAAAATCAATATTTAATCTAACACCAGGTTTTTTTTTTAAATTTTAACTTCTTGAAGGATTAAAGTTCAAAAACCCCTTTTTGTTATACACAAGGTATAAAATATCTTGATATCGGAAATATCGGTAGTCCAAAAACGCAGAAATTTCGATGGAAATATCGGAATATTATCGATATCGATAAAAATTGAATAAAAACCATGGAAATTATAAGAAAAACTTGGAAATTTTTATTGAAACTTTGCAGGATGTTTATTTAGTTAATTATCTATTAGTTTATCACAAAAAATTGAAAGGAAATGCATTGCATGATAGATATAACTTATTTAAGTTGATTATATAGCGAGCTGGCAAACATTGTGAGTGTAAAAAATATGTAGTAATTAATGAAAGAAGTTTAAACACACCATAATCATTTATATATAATGAATTAGTACAATATTTTACACTTTATACATTGCATGGTAAGATACATGAGTGACTTAGTAAGGTCTAAAATATCGATGATATCAGATATATCGGTAGTCCAAAAACACGGAAACTTCGATGGAAATATCGGGATATTATGGATATTTTAGACCATGGTTATACAATATATTTCGATGTACTTTATCTTCTTCATTTAGTTATATTAAATTCATTATAATACATTTCGGTGCATACATTTAGGTACATACATTTCGGTGCATACATTTAGGTACATACATTTCGGTACATGCATTTCGACACAAACATTTAGGTTCATTAATTCAATATAATACATTTTCAGTACTAACATTTCGGTGCATACATTTCGGTACACACATTTAGGTACATTAATTTAATATTAATACATTTCGGTGCATATATTTAGGTACATACATTTCGGTACTAACATTTAGGTACATTAATTGAGTCTTTCAAATTTGAAGAATCTTAAATAAAATTAATAGATTAAAACTCTTTTTTGGTCAAAAAATAAATTAAAATTTGTGTATTAATAAATTTAAATATTTAATGGGAGACATTAAATAAAATGCACATTAATTATTTTGAATTAAGGATACATTAGGGACTAAAATCAATATTTAATCTAACACCAGGTTTTTATTTTAAATTTTAATCTTCTTGAAGGATTAAAGTTCAAAAACCCCTTTTTGTTAACTTATACAATATATTTCGATGTACTTTATCTTCTTCATTTAGTTATATTAAATTCATTATAATACATTTCGGTGCATACATTTAGGTACATACATTTCGGTACATACATTTCGACACAAACATTTAGGTACATTAATTCAATATAACACATTTTCGGTACTAACATTTCGGTGCATACATTTCGGTACACACATTTAGGTACATTAATTTAATATTAATACATTTCGGTGCATATATTTAGGTACATACATTTCGGTACTAACATTTAGGTACATTAATTGAGTCTTTCAAATATGAAGAATGTTAAATAAAATTAATAGATTAAAAAACTCTTTTTTGGTCAAAAAATAAATTAAAATTTGTGTATTAATAAATTTAAATATTTAATGGGAGACATTAAATAAAATGCACATTAATTATTTTGAATTAAGGACACATTAGGGACTAAAATCAATATTTAATCTAACACCAGGTTTTTTTTTTTTAATTTTAATCTTCTTGAAGGATTAAAGTTCAAAAACCCCTTAATTATATATTAAAGGATGAGTTTGTTGTCCTCAAATCCTATAACATCCCAAAGTCCAAATCCAACGTTCAAGCCCAATTTGCTCCCAATGGTCAATCTTTCCAATTACTTTATATGTGAAATTTCCCAACTTGGCCAATGTGGGACAAATAAGATGGTCTCAAAAGCTCCAACACCTTCCTCCAACCGCTCAATGAATTTCCAATTCTAAACTTCTTTGTGTCTACATACGTTGTGTGCTTTTGTTTCTCCAGCTCCCAACCTCTCTTCCCTCCCCCTTAGGCCTGGCCCATACGATGGGGCAACTGTTAAAACACAATACCCAATTCCACCAACGTTCTCAAATCACAAACCCAATTCCACCCTAACCAAACTTCGACCACTCCACTATGTTGGCAAACTTTTTTTTTGAAGATTTTAAGAAATTTTGGTGATTTTTACACGTAATTGACATATCAAAGATTTTTATTTTTTATTTTTTCTAAATTCGCTACTTATAATATTTTATCTTTGATTTTTGAAGTATGTCGTAAATCCAAATTTCATGAGTGAAATACGAAATTGTCAAAGTAAAAACTAAAAACAAACATTGCATGACAACTCTACCAATTCGAAATCGATCGCAATCCTTGACAATGTAAATTATGTAATTCACATTGTGACCTGCGAACTTTTGTTACCTCACCCGCTAATATTTATTTCTTTTACTTGGTGCATACAAATATGATTCCTAAATAATCTTCAAGTTCAACTTCTTCAACATCATTTTGGCCTTTCACTTCTACACTTGTAGACTTGTAGTGGCTTCAACATCAACGGAAATAGGATTTGAAGTACTAGAGGCAACATTCTCAAACCAAATGGGAGTTTTACAAAGTATTTGGCAATCTCATAACCTATAACCCCAATACACCTAGTAGCCCTCACACATCTTATGACGAGAGTGTAGTTGCGTCTTGCATGGAAGAACAACTTATATGACATATGTTTACCGTTACGTTGGCGTCACAATAATAAGTTACAACATAAGACTACATGATAGAAAACTAATACATGTTATTGTATTATTAACACAGAATGCCACATGACAGTAAATTTGTGTCATATAAATCTTTCTCTTTGTGTGAATGGTCCAATTAATTAATTTCCAACATCCAAAGGCTCATGTGATCTTTAACAGCATTGATTTTTCATTCTATTTTATTAAATTTGGTCAATAAACAACGTTAATTTAGTTTTAAGGTTTTTGAATTGCAACTTGCATATACGACGATTCCCAAAGCCAAAAGACTCTCCCTCCCACCGCCCAGTCAGTATAGCATTCATGTCCCCTGTCCAGATCTCACTAATACTAGTTGCTATGCACATGTTCTTGTCTCGTGTTTTCCTTCTCTCATCGCTCCGTGTTTGTATTAATGTCAAAAATGTTAAAACAGTACTGAAAGTTAATGAACGAGAGTTTGAAATCGGAATGCAATTGGTTAAAAGAAAAATTAAATGAATTAATGATTTCGTGGTGATTTGAAAGTTAAAAGATAGTTTTAGTGGTAAAAAAAAATAAAATATAAACCTCTGTGATAAAATCTGTTAAGATTTAAACTCAAAATTAAAAATTTCGTCAATTCTCTGTTAATTATTAGCACATAAGCTCACATGTGAGGCTAAAAGGATAAAGTTAGTCTCACATGTGAGTCTTACAAGCTAACAATTGATGGAGAATACCGTTTTAGCCTCATATGTGTGGCTCACGTGCTAATAATTAACGGAGAGTTGATGAAATTTTCGATTTTGAGCATAAATACTAACAGAGTTCACCACATGAGCTTAAATCCTAATCTTTTTTACTACATGAGCTATCTTCTAGTTATTCTATCACCATGGAGACTAATAATCCAATTTTATCGGTAATGAAAAATACCGTAATCATGAAAATAAAAACTGAAAAATTGAAATGATTATGAAAAAAATAAAAAAGAAGACAAATAATTTATTTATTTTATGAAAATCCAACTGCCATTGGACATAAACAACCAAGATCAAGATCACAACATAAAACTATATAACTGGACTCATACCAAACATAAAAGGGATCAACTACTAATTCTTGCTATTATTACTAAAGCACCAACTTTAACCCTAATTAACATTCTCCATAAAGATTAAACTAGACACAGAAAATTTGAGTAATTAAATTAGGGGCACTTGGGCTTGCCCTTGTCGTTCTTCTTGTCCCTGTAGCAAGGGCACTCGTGCTTGTTCCCATAAGTCCCAGACGGCACACACTTGCACGCTTCACAGCATATCCCACAATACTTCATGCATCGATCCTGAACTCCTGCTACTGCACACCTCGTCGAGCACTTGTCGCTGCAATATGCTGCAAGATTAATAAACCCACTTAACATCTTAACATACGGTGATCAAACTAATTAAACTTTTCAAAGCAGATGACATGCATGGTTCGACGAGTAAGTTCTGTTGTCGAACTTATATCATCAAAATGCCGATCTAAACTATATGGTTTATCACAAGTTTAGATAATTAATGATCGAGATTCACAGTTTAACAACCAGATAATATGGCAAAAGAGAACATCTCCATTTACTTGGGCAAAATCTAAACACTTACGTGAAGTAGCGAGGGCCATGGCTGGATCCATGAAAGAGGAGGTAAGAAGAAGGAAACAGAGGAGTGGAAAGTAGAGCTTCATCTTGCCTGGTGAACTCAAAGGACGAGTCGTAGTTGAGAAGTGTACTTGGGGCAGTATGGAGGATTGTGACAGCTCAAGCTGGTATTTAATAGCGAGTGAGAGAGAACTTGAGTTGGCAACTTTGGATACCCTCCAAAAAAACCAAGTCAATATTATTTTTTTATTTATTAAACAAGTTATAGAATAGTGTAAATGATCTTAGATTTTTTAGTTGACATTAATAAAAAGAGGAGTATATAATGTTTATTTAAAATTCAATTTTTTTGGGTTATATTTTCTGAATTAACTTATCTATAATTTCATTAATTTGTAAACATGGAAACCAACTAGTACTATGTAGTGGTATTTCTCTGGTTCACGGTTTAAGTTTAATTATCATAAATGACAAGTTTATTGTTAAATTATTATGTTACATCTATTGTGTGGTTTAGTTCTAATTTCTTACCCTAGTGTGAATATATTTTAAGGATAATGTTAGAGAGACTAAATGTGTAGGCTAAATTTTGTAAATTGAATGGCATGAAAGTGATTGGATTATTACTTAAGCGCTGATTAATATGATTATTTCTTATTAGTGATATATCATTTAGTTTGCAAATTTGATCTATAGAACATTACTTATAGTCATATATAGTCACCCTATACTTCTGCACAGAAATTCTAAATTCAATTCTCATCTCACATCGCCTGTTAAAAATGGAATAACTTTCTGCAAATTATCTTTACAATGATTTTTTTTCTTACCCAAAGAAATTTATTTTTACTTGTTCTAATTTTATTTCAGTTTGGAAAATAATTTTTTTAGTAAAATTTAAATATATAGGACAAAAATAGTACGTTGTGCAGTTGGGATGATGAACTAAGAATAAATGAGGACTGGGTCTCACTGCACAGCTGGAAGGGTGCAACTTTTGGAACATATTTATTGAGTCCGTGAGGTAAGAGTGCGATACAGAGAGGCGGTCCACGCGGTATTTTTGCACTGTGAACTAGATTCCTCGTTTTTTACCCTATGTTCAGATGCAACGAAATGAGTTTAACAATTCTGTACAAGTAATTGTTAGTCGTAAATCTGGCATTCGTGTCGTGTTTTTCGTGTTCGTCTCGTTTTCATGTCATACCTGATATCTTAATGGGTTGTGTCGTGTAACACCCGTTAAAATACAAGGGTAAAATGACCCGACCTGAAATCGACCTAATAATATTAACAGGTAATATGACCCGACTCGTTACCCGTTAAGGAAAATATATTTTAAACCAATAAATAATCAAATGAAAAACATAATACTAAATAATTATATACATACCATATTGTCACATCTAAAACATAAAAACGCATTTTTCTTTTAAGTATATTTTCACTTACCTAAAGTCTTTAATAGTTTTGTAATTAATGTAGAAGTTTAAAAAAAATATATAGAAAAAATATATAAACGCTCGTAATAACAAGCTTTACAACTTTCATGAAGAGCTTAACTTCGAAATACGTCACTATAGTCATATAAATCATAGATCAAAATTTAACCGTTGATTGTTGTTTACATTTACACTTCATTGTTCTAATCAAATTTTGTTTTTTCAGATTTTCTCTTTTGAAAACTTGATCGATTAAAGGATGCAAGAAGATGAAGGGTTTGGATCTTTGATATTATATTCAAAGTTTTACAGTTAGTCAAAATATTGCTTGATGTTTATAAAGTTTCTACAAACTATATGACATCAACTCATATTTCAGTTAATCGTAAATATCGAAACGTGATATCAAATATCTGAACCGTTCATCTTCTTACATTTGCCAGATGATCATGTTTTCAAAAAAGAAAATTTTAAAAATGAAATTCAGTAAGAAGAATAAAGCGTAAATGACAATCGACAGTTAAATATAAATTTAAGGTTTATGAATTATAGTGTTGGATTTAAAAGCTGACCCCTTCATGAAAGTTGTAAAGTTTGTCACTATGAGTGATTGTATATTTTTTTTTTTTACATTTTTTACACTTCTACATAATTATTATTAATTTTATTAATTTTACCCTCAAATAAAAAACATTATTCAAGAAGGTTTGGAGGATTTTAAAAATCTAAACGATAATGCAACGTGGAGGAATAATGATGAATCACGAGTGTTTATATATTATTTCACATTTTTCATATGTGTGTATGTCTTCTTAGTTCTTGCCTATACAAATACTGTATTAGTTTATTTTAATTTTGGACAACAACATGTTAAGTAAAATTTATCCTAGTAATGATAATAAGAAACTCTCATAATAAAAATAAATAATGACAAAAACTTTTTTTTTAAACTTATATAGAATAATAATACAAAAACTATATATTTAATATAGAATATATTGTATATATTAATATGGCTATTGTATTTTATAATAAATCTTTTAGTAATTAAACTTTAAAATTATCAAAATAATTTTTTTCTTAACGGGTCAAAACGGGCTACCCACGTGTTACCCGCGTGTATACCCATTATTAACCGGTCACCCGATAATGACCCGATAAGTTATCGTGTTGACCCGAAAGCCTTTATTTTCATGTCGTTTTCGTGTTGTGTCAGAAACTGCCGGGTCTAGTTAGTCGTTGATTGTAAAGAGTTTTTATAAGATTTTTTTTTAGCATCCTACAAAATGTTGAATACATTTCATATTAAAATTTAATATTAAATGATTTATCCCTATTATGTAATGACAATTTCGACCTTATTAGGTTTTTTTTTTTTTAAAACAAGAAATTTCTAAAAACACCCTAAATCACTTTTAATGTATTAGTTACCTTCTTCAACTATCAAAACCCCTTACTCTCCGTTGTTGAACAAAACACTAACCAAGATATGAGCATTGTTTAAGCTATCTGCATTATTTTATTCCCTGATTTTGATTTCAAAGGAGATTAGTCCCAAATATATGCTTGTGATTTCCCAGAAACTATACTACCCAAGCCCTATAATAATAGGGCTTCTCTAATATTAAGCCTAATATTTATTTTCAATTCCTAGAAAACCATATTACCTAAATGCTTCTCTCTTAGGTCTCTTAGGAACTTCTCTAATAATATGCATTTTTTTCTTTTCTTGGTACCTCATTGTTTTCAATGGTGAATTACTGCAATATAACTCTGTTTGGGCCGAGCTTGGGATTATTCTCGGCCCATTGACATTGATCTAGAATTTTCTTGTGGACCGTCCAGTTAAGGCTAGCTGAATCCTATTGCAAAGGGAATTGGTTTAGATAAGAGTGAAGTAGTCGAAACCTAGTGCAACTTGGAGTCGTAAGGTTAAGGATGCTGGGAATTAGGTGATGAATCTGGTTTGTTTAAAAGTTTGGTCCAGAGTCCTATTAGAGTCAGGATTGGCCGAGACCTAATTAGATTACATTGAGGAGTTCTAATCCGAATATGATTCTAGCTCGGCCATGAGGGGGTTGGCTACTATAAATAGAGAAGGGAGTGCATTATCTAAGCCCTCCAATTTAACACACAAATTGCCATACGCAAAGCTTCTCAACAACCTTTGAGATTTTATCTTTCTCCCCTTTCTCCTGCCAACACATCTTCAGTTTGGATAAACAACACTGTGAACGCAACCAACAACATCTTTAGTTTGGATAAATAACATTGGAGTCGTAGAATCAGCCGATCAAGGAGCACCTTCAGTTTGGATAAATAGCACTGCTTCGAGACCGACTGGTTATTTATCCAAGTCTCGGTCGACAAGGATTTTTGAGTTCATGTTGGTAAAGGTCATCTTATTAGCCTTCTTAGTGAAGTGCGGTGTTACAGGTTACTAGGCTTGGCACGTTAAACGCCGAGTTGTTTTATGATTGGATATTCACAAGTATCTTTTAGAGTTTGACATTCTGACGGTCAAACCACATTCACCATCAAGACATACATCTCTTTTGAGTATTTGTGTCCATATAGTTTGGTATCAGTTTGGCATGCTTATATCCTCACGAATATAATCACCGTGACTGAACCTGGCGCCAACAATCCATGAACTTCGCAAGACTAGCAGCCTTGTCTTCAGACTCTAGAACCCAAAGGCTGAGATGTGTTCCTTCATTGGCCGCGATCGCAAGATTAAGAAGTCAGCAACGCGCTCATTGCAATATCAACATTTTACTCCTTGGTCGAGCTTGGCCGTCGAGTTGTCACGCCTTGCACATAACCGAAGAACGTAGTTAGCTAATTAGTTACTCGGCATGCGCGCCACATATGCTTGGTAGTTTTTAAGGTCAACAAACTCATTAAATTTAAGGGTGAATTATTGCAATTACCCATTCCATTCAATTGGCACCTTTCAAGTGTCTGTTTTCTTCTCTCCACATACAGCACGCAAGATGTTAGGGTTTTTTCCTTCAAAAAAAAGATTTGAAGAATGTGGGGTGTATAGAAAATGTACAGTATGTAGAAAATATAAGGTGTATGTTGAGAAGGTGGGATGTGAGGGTATTATGGGGAAGTATATGAGGTTTATTAAGATAATTTTTAATTAAAAAAGCAAATGTGAGGTGTATTAAATATGTGGAGTTTATTCAACAATGGGTGATGTGTTAATATAATAAGCCTTTTTATAATTAATTAACGGTTAAACACCACTTATCGCGTGGACAGTTGTTCTTAGTATGAACACGCGGTTTAAGGCCACTTGCATTTGTGTCTATCAGAAGAGGTCCTTGTAAGACTCAAATTCAAGAAAAGAAATTTACCTACCACGTTTGTTTGTTTTGGCTTTGTGATTAATTCACTTCCCTATAATGTGGTGTCACATAGGGTATACCTACCACCATATTATAAAAGAAATTTACATAGTGCCATCGGATTAATTGCCACATATATTGTATTATAAATTTGTGGTAGGAGTCGTATGACTAACATATCATTCATGCGGACGAAGAGTTAGACTGCATAGGATATAACAACCACTATGTTATACTAGAAAATTATTGCACCCCTTCAATTCCCTCTTAATTGTGGCCCTTTATTCTCCTTTTATTTGTTCGATTCAACATTTGGAAAGAAATAAAAAAAAAAAAAAGAAAGAAGAGGAGCTGTTAAGGAGGTAAA